AGCGAATAATATCGGTTAAAAATGTCCATTTCATCATCATGTATCGTTGAGACATGGGCTGATAAGTAACATCGTACGCGGAGAAGCATTCTTCTTGGAATGGGGTTATCAACAAGGAGTGAATAATCCATTTCGAAGATAATATGTCACGAAAATAATTTATGTCGGAACACTGCCGACATCAACTCTTCAATCCAATCCATATTACCTACAACATGACAGGGAAATAATAATGAAAAAAGACAACCGGTAAAGAATAACGTAGACACGACAAAATTCAAAAGAGCCAAACCGTCCTAAAACAGATAATCAGGATTTCGATATGATAAAACTTACCGCATGCCATTATTTTCCGCATGTTCTCACTATCTCGTATGTCAGACCAATTAGCGACCGCAAAATCTAATGCGGCCGTCCTCAATTGAGAATCGCCCACTTCCCAAGCTAATGTAAGAATCTCGTTCCAATTGTTTAAATCAACCATTTCTGCAATTCTGTCGGCTACCATTTCACCAAATTTTTCAAGATTCAGCATATCCGCCTTGGAATAAACGTCTTTCAGCACATCGAATTGTAAATCCTCTTCCAGTCCCCCAGTATATAGATAATAGAGAACCGAACGAAATGTCGTATATTCCATCTGTTTTATTGCTATTGCCTTCATCTGTGACTCTCTCCATTTGTCTCCCAACAATTTTTCAAAATATTTCGATCTTGTTGCTAATATTATCCGATGAGCCTTGATACGATTTCCACAGTCGAACGTAAACTCTACATCGCTATATCTTGAATCGTTCAAGTGCTCAGCAAATGTTGGGAATTCAAATGCATCAGATTCAATTGGCACCTCGCATTCTTGAGGAACATCATTGAAAATCTTGATACGTATTAACAAGTCAACATCGTCATTCAAATCTCCATTAGGAAATAAACTATCCAAAGAACAGAAACGATGCCGACCAAAGTCATCTAAACCTTCGAACTCGAATTTCATCGTAAAAGTCTCATTTCGAATAAGCACTGGGGTTTGTATGGATGTGGTGGTATCAGTGTACAAGCGAAAGACCTCTAGACGGAATTGCTTCTCTCTATAAGTTATATTATTTGATTTTTCATATGGTGTTTGGATCGCTACTAGATATAAGGATATATATGCTTTAGCTTGTTCGTTAACACCATTAGGATATAGTTTTGCACGCCATAAATAAGGATTCTTCGAAAGGAGGCGCGGTGACCAGAATCTCTCACTAAGAACAAAATGAGAGCTTGGATAAAAGCTCACAAGTTCGTTAAAATTCTTGATCGGCCACGAGTAAGCGAAACACTCTTGCGCATTCTTCAAAGGTTGTCGTGGCCCCTGGTCAGAAGTCATATCACGAGAGTCGTTATCTCCTACAGGAGCCGGTAGTCCGCTTTCCCTAGTACGTCGTGACAGCGAACGGGCAAACCGTTTACTGCTGCGCAGAATATTCACGAAAGAGAGCCAAAATTTGTCGATTATGAATAGATGATCTCTTCAGCATAAGTTTGGGCGAAAACGAGCAAGTCAACCACATACAAACAAATTATGTTGGGCATTAAGAGACGTTTCGCGGAAATCGTGAAGAAAGGGACATTAAGAGAGATGCACGATTCAGTCCACTTTCGAGTCCGAGAGAACTTCCCGAGACAGATATATAAAAAATTTAGTACAACCTGACTGATGCCCTTGACGAATGCTTGGTTTCCTCTTCGATGTAAATGCATGCATGGCCCGTCGCTTCCTCAGATCGTACTGTCTATACACGTGATTTATAAATTGAGTAGATGTTAATGAAACGATTTCAGGGGGTGGGGGAATAAAAAAAATCGGAAACCGTAATACCAAAACGAGTAGGCACAAAAAAAGATCATGGTTTTTCCCGAATTATTGTTGACAAGTCCCGCAATGACGTGTATATCTGAGAGAGCAATGATATCCGACACTTGAGATTAATACTTATTTGAATATTTGGCCTTCAGACTGATAAGTCGATTCTAATCTGTTAGCGTCTATACGATAGCTTTTATCAGCCGAGGTGTATAATTAATATTATGACTGACATATTCAACTAGAATGAATAATGGTCACGAACACATAATCAGTCAATTTTTCTTAAATTGGCTGACCAGCAAATAGTTTTAGACTTGAATCCTATTGAAAGTATATTAATATAGTTACGTAATTAGGAGAAGAGATATTCCGTATGGTGTTTGTCAAACTCTGGAGCAGATGTATTTAAAATAAGGGAAATAGATTTAATATTAATGCTAATTTTTGTAATAAAGACTGTTACTTTCAAGATTTAATGTAAAAATTTTTGATTTTCTATGACGCATTGTATTTATCAATAAATATGAATGAGACTTGACAGAAATGTAACGACACATTTTGACACGCGACTCGTTGTGTCGCGATGTCTGTGTTGCCTGTTGTGCGTCGACACATCATATGATTGCTGCGGAAGAAACGATGATTCAGACTAATAGCTTTTAATAGGAAGAGAATACTACATGACATGATGGATAGTCGGACGATATGTAAACCGTGCAATTCGCAGTCAATATACATACGCATGCTTAAGATTATAATAAATTTGCTTGATACAAGAAACTAAACATTCAATTTATATGACAACTGCTACAAAATCTAGTTGAAAGCTGTTAATAACGCAAAATGAGAGTCTGGGGAGCGGCATAAGGGAGATAATTTGGCTTTAGTGGTTGGTTGCAAGGTCGAAAATTAGGTTTGTTCATATAAACAAAACCAATTTACAATAATTAAAATACTGTAGTTCTCTGCTTATGATTTTGTAATTTGCGGTTTAGTACAAGTTTTATCAATGACTACTCTTCTTTATCTACGACATGCTTCAATGGATGTCAATATTTATGGATACCGAAATAAGTTTGCTGTTAGCCGCCTTTGTCAGGGTAAAACATAGTGCGTATTTTATGAAATCGGTAATAAGTTCGTACGTAAAATGAGTAACACATTTCGGGCTTTCATTGTCAATTTAAGCACTCCAGGCCCCGGACGGCGCGTGCCTTCATCTCAACTAAAACTATGCTTCATTTTCACTGCTTGTAAATGATTCACGTAAACAATGTAACATCAATCCACTCGCCACCCTTTTCATGATATTGCCGCATAAACTTGACGCAATCTTTTCAAGCTCTGTTTTCTTCGTTTGCATAAAGTCGGATTATAATTATGATACATGTATTATTTGAAAAATGGAAAGAGCATGTTATTTTGGAAATATATATATAATTTTTACTTATGTAAACTAAATAGAAAAAATATGCATCTATATCGTGAATGTTATAGGTAAAAGTTACCACCATAAATTGTTTGACGCTAGAAGAACAGCTAAAAAAAAGATTGTGAAATGTTTGTAAGATCCGCCAAACGGCTGATAATTAAATATCATGTTTAACTAAAGAAATAAGCATATTAGTATACAAATTGGCCTCTATGAAGAGAGTAGGCATATACAGAAAAACGTAAATGTATACAGGATTCACTGAATAAAACCAGCACTATAATTAGCCAGTTTAATAATACAAATACTAGACTTGGTTTCCAAATTACTTGTAAACAGAAGTCTCATACTGATGTTAAAGTTAAGCAGTTAAAAGAATAGATTACTAAAGTCTATGGTAAATTTACTAGCAAGCTCAGTATCTTCTGTGCAAAATAACTTTTTTTTAAACATTAAAAAGCCTCTCTTAAATTTAGAACAGTAATAAATAAACTGGAGGCTGAGATAACAAACTGCACAAAGCTTTATTAGAGAATTCTGATATGGATGCTATCCAGTTGCTCCACAATTCCTCTCTTGAGAGTATTATTACAGTAAAAAAATTGGAAATAAACCGAATGAGTTACATAAAACTTATTATTTAAGGATAGGTTAACTTTCTGTCTCAGGCCTAGAGTAAGTGGAACAGGTCACTTTGAAACAACACCATAATAATACGTGTAATCAGTCATTTCACGGTTTGAAAAGTGAGCACAGTAGCAGATCCTCATCATCCAGAATAGCAAAAGTATCCGATATTAATTAATGACCAGTATATGCTCTAAAATAAAAGAATAATTCAGCGAAATGCATCTCACTTTCAGACTTCGAACGCAATAGATACAATTTCTCAAAGGTACAGTATTTTGATTAGTAATAACGCGACCCGAAGCAAAGAGGAGACGATAAGATAAAAAATATTGAGACAAGTTAACGTGAAAAAAACAATTGTTTGGCGAGTTGAGCCTGACAAACGCTACAAGCCTTGTTTTAGGTATACGCCAATCGAAAGACCAAGTTACAGTGCTGCTGACGTGTAATTATACAGGTTACTCCATTGCTTATTCATATTCATCGATTCACGGCTTTGCCATATCGATGAATCGTTTATTATAACAGGAGTATCAAAGCAAACGTCTATCTTTAATCATTACTTGCAAAAGCTTGAACAGCCGAATGTAATGCGCAAATAGAAAGAAATTTTTCCTACTTGGATACGAAGGATTTACTTTGTAAAAATACACTAATTGCCAGCAAATACGACAGTGCATCTACAACCGTGTGATGCAGTTTTCGTTCAATTCTTTTGATTAATTTTGTCGACAATCTCATCATCGTAAGCTTTGTATCAATGCGTTTGACTACAGACACGTCAGATTAATAATAACAAACCTGTTTAACCGTCACGATTACGATTGTAGCACGTATTAGTATGGAAATTTTACTTATGTCACGTGAATAAATTATGACAGAACTTTTTTTATAGAACTCGTTTTCTGACATTTGACGACCAACAAATCGAAAACCCAACGGCCTTTGCTTGAATTCATACGTGCAATACGTATAAGCAAAATCATGACTTCATTCCTGGTGAACACAAGTCTCTTTGCACGCGTTATTGAACGCAGGTCTTGTATGCATTTCCGAAGCATACTGATGCGTAAATATTCCGATATAATGTCCAAAGGAACACCGGACAAAGCATTAGCTGCGTTTACGAATTATACGGAAGCTGACGACAAAACTAAAGTTATTGAGAATTTTGTCAAGCAGAGGTATCCCCACTGGCGAGATTTATCGAACGCTGAATACGAGCCGTTGCAAGATACCAGGCTTAAAACAGAGTTGGCTCCCTATTTGGAAGGGAAAGAGCTGGAAAAAGTTATGGAAGCCATTAAGAAATACCGAATGACTGCATTACAAAATGATGAAAGGTTTTCAAGCTATTTAACTCTGTTATTTCGAGTCGATCGATGGGAAGTAGCAGAACTTCTCTACAAAGACTTTAAAAAATACGGAGATTTGGGCGAGAAAGACTATGGGATATTGCTTGCTGGATTTTTACAATGTAACAAATACGACATTGCAATAGAAATATGGGACGATTACATCGCCAAGAACAAACCTACTCAGATTATTTATACCATAGTTTTAGATGGATTCTCTAAACGAACAGATTTGACGTTTGCGGAAAGGGTATGGGAGAGAATGAAGAGTGATGGGATTGAACCGGATTCGATAGCATATGCAGCTATGATCGAAGCATATTTTAGAGCTAGGAATCCGGCTAGAGCTGCAGAGTTATTTGAAGAATTGAATGGTTTACGAGTGAAGCTTGACGTCGTGTTTTATAATCGTATTATAAATGGGATGTGTTGGTGCATGAAGATCAAAGAGGCAATGAAAATATATGCCAAAATGAAGTCTAATCCGGAACTTGAGCCGAACTTGGTTACTTACAACACGCTTCTCAGAGGTGCATTGTTCGCTAAAGAGTACGCTGCGGCTGCCATGTTGATGGGAGACATGCGTGCACGGCAAATGAGCTTCGACACAGTTACGTTAACCACTTATATCGATAGAATGCTTTCAGTGCGCGATATAGATGCAGCCAAGAAGCTGTGGGATTTGTTTCGAACACTCGGTCTTAAACCAAATAATGTATCTTACGGTGCGTTGATTGGTGGTCTTATTAGATGTGGTGATGACGCCGGTGCACAAATGAAGTTTAAAGAGATGATTGAGGCAAGAATTAAGCCCGGAGTTCAGGTTTATACTAACATGATTCAAGCGTTCTTTTATCGTGGATTCGTGCATATGGCCGAGGAAATGTATCAAAGAATGCGGCAAGCAAAGGTCAATCCGACCACGGCCACTTACAACATTATGATCGGAGGTTTTCTTGAGGCAAATAACGTAGAAAAAGCGATAAAAGTATATGAGGAGATGATTGCAAGCAGGACCAAACCAAATCAGGCTACATACAATGCCTTACTCGGTGGACTGGTACATAAGAAAATGATGGACTTGGCGTCCGTTATATATGATGATATGATAGCGGCCAAGTTTCTACCAGAACGGCCGGATTTGAAGAGAAGTTGCGAGATGATTAAAGACTGGAGAGCATCGCAAACGTTAAGGTTGAATGCTGGCTAGAGGGCAAGGAAGAGATATATTTTCACTTTAATGATAAATGCAATTCACTAGAGCAGATAGGCGATATTATGATGATGTGAATATCTTAACTTTATTAGTCGCATACAATTTGACGCGGAATATAGAACAGCAATTATAAAGGGAGGGAAAAAAGTATCGTATTGAAGTTTTAAATGGTAAGTTTGTTTTGGAATTATATAATAAATTCTTTTTCGCGTGCTCGATATTTCCTCATTTTTTATATGCCGTTTACACTCGGGGATGTCTGGTCTATCGGAATAACTTACGACAACACGTTCTAGCAGGACCCGAAGCATCCCAATGTGATGAAATGAAACAATCGATTATCTTAATTACGACACTTTATTAGAAGACGTTAACAAAGTAATTTTTGTGAAGCTCTCAGCATATACTTTATCAATGTCAATAGATTACTTATAATGTGGCAAATAATTCTAAACATTGGAGTCGGCAGTTTAAAAATAGGACTATTCGACTCGCTAACAGTCCAAGAGTCGCTCAAATTACGCATCAAGAATTAATTCGATGGCAGCTTGATGTCCATGAGAAATAAATGGTAGGGATTAAATCATGAAAGAATAGTTGTAATGGAGATGAGTCTCCATTGAACTATTACGACTAATTTTCGCAAATAGTAGTTGTACAAAATACAACGGTGGCGCTAAAGAGGCGAGGGATTAAGACATAGAGATGTGTAGACTAGAAAAATTTTATTAACTAGCGAAAAACCGCCGTAATTAAGAATAACTGCAACATTATTATTTCTGAAGAGTTGATGTAATGTTGAATCGAATTGTGCTATGTCCAGACCAGGGTAATATCGTATGCATATTTTCTCCGCTGATGTGACAGTCTATTGATTGGAACCAACTTCCCATTTAGTTTCACATTACGATACGATAAAAAGTAGATAAATAGTCAGAAATCTACGTTCACTATTTAGACGCGGGTAAAGACAAATAGTAAGTAACATTTATTATATCGCATGTGGTCAATATGCTCGAACGATCAATTGTTTGAATGTCACGAGACTGGATAGATGAATGTAATATACGAAAAAATAAAGCGAATATTAAATATTATATTGACGTTTCCTCTGCTTTATTGCTATTATTAGTTGACTAAGTTTACCACATCTTTCCTGCAATCTGCTCGAGAGTATTCTTGCACAGACTACACGAAGCAATCGCAGGAAAAAGCAAACTCTGTAGACAATATCGTAAATGTATGTAAGATAGTAATCACATGCATTAATTGAGAAGAGAATATAATTATAATCTTGTGTTAATATTTGAAAAATTTAAAACAACCGTCAATTTTATTTGCGTTTAAATTTCTATACAAGACAATAATTTTTTTACCATGGCTTCGAAAATGTAAAACATAATGTATTCATATTAAGATTATTACGTTAGAGCTTTATCAAATAACCTTGCTTAATACCAAAAAGGTTTAGTCTATGGCTGTAATTTGCAACATGTAAATAATATTGCATACGAGGTTTGGTGCTATCACTATTACGTTTTTGCAGTAGTCAACAAATGAATTAATAATTAGTGTTCCGGTGTCACTATCATAGATGCTTTAACGCGTGTGCCAGATAAGATGTTCAAGGATTGAACTATAATAATAACGGGTTGTGTCACGAAATATTTGATACACTTTCAGGAAACGTGGTTTTTATGTCTGTACAAACCGGTAAAACAGTGTACATCTGTCCGTAGTCTCTAGACCTGCAATTTTTCAAAAGTAGAATATCGACCAAGAGTGTTTATAAGTATAAGAAGTTGGATCTACATAAATAGTTAGCGCACAAGTATTTATCAAATACTGAATAGCGTTTATTTAAACTCTGATAAAAAACTATACATAGGGTACTGATTGCTCGATCAGAAATTCTAAATTATTTTGACTCTTAAATTGTCCTATTACTAAATCGTTATGATAATGTTTGTATATCATACAGCTTAATCTAGTTGTTGAAAGAAATTAATTAGTATACTTAAAGCATATCTAGCCAATCAGGGAGGCAGATCCGTAATCATATTCAAAATTAAGGTCTGCACTCTGCAAAATTCATAATCGCTATAATTTAAACAATTATCGCATCCCTCAGTCACGTGATGAAGAATATACATTAGAATAAGTTTAGTTTCAACATAAGGGTAATGAATTCCCCCTCATCGACTTCTCCATCGCCATTCTTATCTGCCTCATCGATCATTTCTTGTAATTCCTCGTCCGTGAGGTCCTCTCCGAGTTCACGTGAAACACGCTTGAGGTTGGCAAAGGTAATTCTACCGGTTTCATCATCATCGAATAGGAGGAACACCTTGTGAAGTTCTTCCCTTATATCTCGCTGAGACTAGACAAAATAGCAAAAAAGCGAGGTAAGGAAAAACGTTTTCACAAGAAGGGAACAAAACGTGAAGAGTGAGATACAACTGTAGATCCGTTCTAAATTTTATGGAACAATCGAGGCAACGCAATATATCGTGTCTTTCCGGATGTCATAATTCTAGATCATTCGATTCACTCTCTGATAGTTAGCCCTCTTCTGCATTGTGCCTCTCTCATGGCCCGCCTTCCTTAACTTACCATTTTCTCGGAAACAACTTTCAAAAACGTATCAAAGTCCACTCTACCACTTCCATCAACTTGTGCGAGTATCTGCTTGACTTCATCCCGTTTAACTTCGAACCCCAAAACCCTCATTGCCACCTTGAGCTCTTTCGCAGCAATAGAGCCAGAACCATCGGTATCAAACAAGTCAAATGCTTCACGAAGTTCTTGGTATTGATCAGAAGTTATGTCGTACTCGGTCTTTTGTTTCTTACGGCGGGAGGAAGATTTCCTGTATGACTATATATAGCATTGGATGAGTTTGGCGAAAACAAGAAAAGGGATAAAACATGAAATTAGAGTCTGTGGATGTAAAGCGGTCCCAATGTTGGAAAAAGTTGTTATCTTGATTTTCAGTTTTACCATTGTCTTTTGAAACCGCGAAAACCGGTGTAGAACAGATAAAATACAGGATTGCCTGAATATGGGAAATAGAACGGTGTTACAGCGGTGGCTTAGCTACCCGGGACATAAATGATGTCATCTTGCCTGGAAAAAAAAATACTTGTGTCTTTGTGTGTTGAAATTCTGTGTAACTGCTATTGTCATGTTACAAAATAGCAATAGTAATAGTAACGCTAAAAATTATAAACATTTGAATTAGGAACAGTGCAATAGCAAGCTAAATAATGAACACTTTAAATTAGGAATAGTTGATCGACGACCGCAAAATATGGATCAAACGAAACTTTGCAGTCTTTACAATTTGTACCATATTCATCGCTTACATAATGTATCATAGATCATCTGCAGTAATAGATTCGGGGAACTGCCGAACGCCTCAGATTTGTCTTACAGGAGACCATGCAATTGGCCCGATTATTGTTGGATCAACAAGTCACTCATATTGCATTATTACCTTTAATAGCAAGAGGTTTAATTACAATATTGGATTTAAGCAATAACTCAAGCGGTTAAGCTGGGAAATTTTAAAGCGTAACTTGACACAACAAACTATCGAGTTAGCGAGAAAACAATAAAAATCTTATATAGTCGTGCTGGTTAATAGGGGAAAGCGATTAATTAACTGCCTTTGAGATTTAGCCATTCTCTCTCGACAGTCAGCGCTTGCTTTCCAATCATGTAATGATAAGCGTAAATTACAATAAATAAGGCCATCTTTCTATTGAATCGAGTTTTTACATGATAAAAATTTTGTTGAGAAATAGCAATTCGTTGGTATGGATGCGCAAGTGTGTCAACTTTTTCGTTTTTGCATTGTGAGTTAAAGAATTGTCGAATTTTTGGTCGCAACCAACTGTTATTTTTATACATTGCAATTAATATGTAAATTTAATTTTATTATTAATGTCTTACACTTTAGGTGGTAGTTTCTTACATATTATTGTAATTCTTTATACGGCAAAAATTTTTGTAATTTAACTACTATAATCGCTTGTTATGCTAACGGCTCATCGCAATTCATCCTTGCCAGTTGAGATAAAGTAAACATCTAAAAGTTCTATCTCTTTTCTCTAGTAATAGTCGTTTGACAATATAATTATTTGGTGCATCACGTTTATAGTCATAAAATCCCAAGATGGTTATCCCGATAAAAAGGTGGTAGAAACTATAACAATTGACGTATCCTCATTTACCGGCGTCGATTAAGTAAAATACTGATTTTTTGACTATTGGTTTAGCGACTTTATCATGCAAAAATCGTTATTTATTTGCTTGATGAGGTGGGAAGCAAGTAAGTGACAAGCATAGTAGTAAGGAAAACCCTCATTATTTGTAAGCAAGAGTTCCAACATACTGAGATAAAGTAGTGAAGCAAAACGATTTTGTGATCTGCAATTCACGAATGCCACGTAATCGATTGTACTTTTTGACACGTATCGGTTTAAAGTTGACTGCAGTATTATGAAATGTTAAATAGATTTCGTCACTTTTGCAGAACAATATATTTGTTATACAAGTTAAACTTTACATTACCTTTTTTCATCAATTGGCTCAAAACCATTGCAATTTACATATCGAATACTGAAGCGACAATTTTGAGAAAAAAAAGGGTTATATTATATATGCTTTATTAATTGATCTGCAAATTCACCATATTAATATGCATTCATATCTTGTAGAACTCTTGGCATCATACAACAATACTAATTATTCTTCTCCCTACTAAGATATAAAAATTATACAATTTTTATCATATTGTACTGTATTTTATTTACGTTAGGTCAGGCTTACCTACCAAAGTATTGGTAATTTGGCTGATAAATTAGTAAACCCATACAAAAACTCGGTTTCTCCCCCAAATTTCTATTGTTTATACGTATTATTAAGTCGTCGTAATTTTGCATCGGCGTGAGCCTTAACTGATAACATATCATTTAATTAGTTTCAAAAATATAAAAATCGCCAACACTTTATACACACGCCCCTATCGTTTTGCTAGAAACATTTTATTTTATTAATGTAACAAATGACATTCTTTCACCAGAATTGATGCCGTTGCTTGTAATAATGCGAAAATATTCAGCATTTTTATTAAATTACAATAGCGACAGATGAAGTTTAAAATGTCAAATATGCATAAAATATAATATTTATACACACAATTTGATATCTCCGGCTATTACGTGGTATCAGTATTTTGTTATAGTTATTTCCCAAGGCATTTATATTACAAAATAATATGCTTACTGATGCATAGATGTTGTTATTGTTGCGCCTGGCTGGCCAGACTAGGTTAGAAATGGTGACACAGACAAAAACTATTTCGCACAGTCGATATGATGTGGTTGACACACTCGTGGTATGGCAATTTATTTCCGTTGTTGAGCTTGCAGCATAGCTTAATGATGCCATATCATGAAATGTAGTGGCTATAAATCTTAACACTCACAAATCGATAGCACATCGAGTAACTTTTCACCCTTCCTTTAGACAATGTGCTGGATCGTTGTTCTCAATTTTGCAAAGCATGAAATCTTCATTATAGTCTTTACAAAATTCCCCAATAAAGAAAGAAGCTGACTTTAACGGTGCGGTGCTGAGGTTGCGCTTACTTCGTCTACCTTAGGCACACTGTCAGGCGGAGGAGTTGGGTCGATGACTTTTATGTATTATGAAGATGCCATGGGCAGTTGTTGCATGACCGACCTAGGTAGATGAAAAGAAAAAATGCATGGCAAACCAATGATTATCAGGACGCGTATCACA